TGGGACTGTGGATATTTCATTTCTTTACTCAACACAACTCCTCATGATCATCCCCACTAAGTTTAAATTAATAATAGTTTTTTCAGACTTGTATTGGATGATGTCTTGATGATGGTGGATTTCTAACTAACTGATATTATTTCTGATGCAGGCCCCTAGAGAACATCAATAATTCACCTGACATTCATAAATATATGTGGAGGGTAGAAATATTGTTCCTTTCAACACGCCCATGAATGGTTCTGGACTTTTATTTGCAGTTGAAGTCAAAACGATCCATATTTGTGCTCCTAATAATTATCAGCACCCGTATGTGACATTGTCAGAATTTATATGCAGGATAATATTTACCAATGTCTTAGTGAAAGTAATAATTATAAAAAAGGAAGCTTCGCGCAATAAGTCTTATATAACATCAAGATATTCGAAAGATTTTAAATATCTTTGAAATGAAAATGATAGGAAAAAACAATAAGGGTAAATGAGTCTATCTTAATAACATGTAGGGGATAAGAAAATAATAAATTGTTTTACTTGAGCAAAGCTCTTTGCCTTTACCACACTGATTAGGCATAACAAAGACATATACTACCCGTAGATTTTCCCACTCCCCTTCCATGTCTCACTGTTTTTTCTTTTTCTTTTCTTTTTTTTTTTCCGGTTGCGAAAGAGCTTTTAACTATCCAACACCATCAACCCTATCCGACCCCTCGTTATCCCCTTCTTTCGACAACCCTTCCTTATCCTTTTCAAACTGTCTTGGACCATTATTTTCCATACTCAGTTTGGCTTTCCATGTCTCTACTTAGTTTGTAGACTTTTATGAACGCATTTTCTATTTGGCGTTTGACTCGGGATGATACGTGCAATTTTCGTGTTCGCATCGTATACTTGTCCACGACTTTCAGATATCAAGTAATTTCCACGTTATATTCTTGGAACGACGACAATCAAAATTCAAAATAGCCGTGTTTGGGCTTTGAAGGAAATCTTTCATGTGTATGTTAGATCGTGCTGCTTCTAATATCCCATCTTCGATCTGAGGTTATTTTCTGGTGTCACTTGGTTTACTAATGCCAAGTAAAACTTTTAAACTAGGTATTACACCCCCCCCCCCCCCAAAAAAAGAAAAGAAAAATACCCAAGCCGTCGAAGTTTCTATCAACTTGATTGATTGATTGATAGTCAAGGCGCCAAGTAATGTAACGACTCTTCTTTTATTCTCCTAAAATATATTAGTTTATTCAAATTTTAACATAAAAATTAAATTGAGCCAGTAAAAATTGTGATGGCAAGGGTCGTGAATCCCTGGTGGCAGGAAAAGACAGTCAATATGGTTCAAACTTCAAAGTCCTCGTCGCTTTGACTGATCCGAGGCGAGGTATTTAACTTGGGTGGGCATTCTGTAGTTCAGCTTATAGAGGCATTGGGGAAAACTCGCTTATTCAAACACGTCCATGAATTTACAGCAAAATACTATGAACTATCAAGTGTCAATTCAATATCAATAGCATTTAGTTCCATCAGATGCATGTGCTGGTTGGGGACAACTTGCCTTCCCGCAATAATAGTTGCAACCTCTTACTAACAATATAGAAAGTCAAAATCTATTGCTTTAGCTGATTTATTAGATTAATTTAAAAGTCTATTTCCAAATTACACTCTATAGTTCATATATAGATCTAACTAAAACTCAAGTTTCCTTTTTTGGATTTAAAATTTAAATATCACTTTCCCTCTCTTCATTTAGAGTGGGAAAAAGATGTATTCCTGTTATGCAGATAATCTGCTCTGCAAAGAAGCTAATCATGATTCAGATCAAGTTTTCCTCTGCCCAGGCTGAGGTTCTGGCATTGAGTTGCTCCCTAAACGATAACCTCTAAAATCTCACAATCAATCAAAGACAACGCCAACAAATGGATCAAGCAGAAAGTCAAAGACCTAGGCAATGCCAAGATCAAGATTCTCGGTGAGTAATGAAGCCAGAAGATCCATTTACTCGGTTTTCTCGTGCTTCCCATGCAAAACATTCAACAGTCAATTTCTGCAGCTGGCCTTGGCAGCCAAACAACAGTTTCCACAGCCAGAAAGACTGGCGCGCTTGGAGAATATTACACTCCATCAGAGAGATCCTTAAGGGAATGACTATAAAGGACAACATCTGGATAATGCAATCAAAATTTCTAGTGAGCAATGGATCCCATGACTCGTCAACAACACGACAACACCCTCACCTCACTTACATTGGTAGCCAAAAGGACATTAAGCTTGATTATGCTCTTTAAAGAGTACTTCGAGTATTTGACAAAAGGGGGAAAAAAAAAAGGAGTACTTAGAGTATTTAGTGAATGATAGTTCACGTAGGTATCATAAACTCTGGCACTCTATTTTGGATGCTGCCAATTACTCTGCCATAGAGAAAGAGGGGGAGGCTCAGTGAAAATAGCAGAGGCAGAGGCTTGTTGGCCTTTGGCTGGAGTGCTGCGACGTCCCCTTATGATGCAAGAGCTCATAATACAAACTTGGTTCAGCATGTGAAGGGAGGGACTCGATAGAGGGCGGGCAAACCCATTGAAACTTGTATCTTCTCCAAGTTTGACGAGGAATCAGAAGAACCCTGAGTCTCAGATACTTTGGGGATTCTTGCTACCAGGAAACATCATAAATAACCAGGACAATCTCAATTATAAGAACTGAAGGGGTGAGGAGTAGCTTATATCTTGGAAGCGTGCATTCAGGTTCAAAAAGTAGTCTTGGTGCAGAAGCTTTTTTAAATCTTCAGTATTGAAATGACCAAGTGGTGAAGGTTTTACTGAAGCAAACCACGTCCAATCTCATGAGTCAACAGCTTTATGTCCAAGCCACACTAGAGAGTTAGATTTTTTCTTTTTTAATTTCAACATATGCAATTGTGATAATTGAAATCTCAGTATGCAATGACAACTTGAAAAAACAAAAAAAAGGGATCATGTTCCATGTCATTCACGTTGCTCCAGCAATCTAATGCAACAGTGAATCATTCATGATAACTTATTCAATAAATTTCCCGCACTCTGTTCCTATGATCTCGTATGGTTTCTAATTTCCAACATTTGTTCATCAATTCATGTTTTCCTTTCCAGAATTCCTAACTCTTAAAGGTTAAATCCCTAATGGCCAACAACACTAACTCTCAAATAGCTTAGCATCCCTTCTATCTAAAACCAGCATTCGCATGAGTTGATCATTCGTTATGCATAAACGTGACAACAGCAAAGTAAATGCAAAGAAAGTTTCATTCAGTGAGGATACAAGCAATATTTATGATTTATCTGCCACAGTAGACTCAAACTCTACTTAATCTTCTTTTCTTCTTTCACTTCTAAGAAAGGTTTGACTCCAGTGAAATTTGGTAAAATTGAGTGGTGATAATTTCAGTCCTCACAAGATCTCGTGAATTTATATCATGTGTCTTTTACGCTGTTGCCACACCTTTGTCATTGTGGTGATACTGATAAAAGGCCAACGGCCAAGCGCACTTGCTTGCACATGAATAATCAGATTCAAACAGAAAATGCCAGCATCCGACTATCACACTCTTAACTACAAGGTCTAAACTATGAGCTAACAGACAAAAGCCGCGAAGTAGTAGTCACTGTTTTGAGGATCAATACTCAGAAAACCAATTTCCAAACTTTAGCAAAATGTACACCTCACAAATATAGAAAAATCAGAGATTAACGAATTCGCAGACTGTATATTTGCCAATAATATGGACGAAAATATATATCCATATAATCCATATCCTTCGAAGAAAGGCATATCTAAATATTTAATCTGCAGATACATATTCAAACTTTTAATTCCGATTTCAGACACATGAATGCATCTCAGACCAAATGAATTCAACAATGGAAGTAATTTTTCTCAGGTGAGCAATGAAGGAAAAATTCAAAAGCGAAGTAAGAAAAGACAGGTACACTCGTTGAGAAAGATGAGACGGAAATGGGCGTCTCTGCAGCTGTAGGTTGTTATTAATGGCGGAGAAGCAGCTGTGGTAAAAGGCGGGGAAGCATAGGAGCCTAGAGATAGGCACCGACATTGCGCAATCTTCGCTGATTCTGACTGACAAAATTCTTCAAGTTAAAAAACTAAAAATAATACTCTCCGGTCTTTATTATAAGACCCAATTTGATTTTTTATTTGGTCCTAATTATAAGACCAAATCCATTTTCTCTCTTATATTTATGCATTTTTTTCCAAGATAATCCTTCTAATAATGATAGTTTTAGCCAATATACTTAATTAGCAAGGATATTTTAGGAATAACAACACTTATTTATTATAAATAACCAACTTAACTTACTTCCTTAATCTCTTCAAATAAGTCAATTGGGTCTTATAATTAGGACCGGAGGAGTATATTATTTTAATATAAGAGTTAGTTAATTAATTTAAATAGATTAAAAAATTAATTTAAATTAGTTATCTGTAATAAATGTGTTATCTCTCTTAAAATGTCCTTACTAATTAAGTATATTGGTTAGAATTATCATTATTACAAAGACTATTTTAAAAAAATAAATACAAAATACAAAATAAATTGAGATCTTATATTTAAGATTAAAATAAAAGTCAAACAAACTCTGGTATTAAATAATAATAAATAAATATTTTAAAATTTTTTGCCCGAGGATATCATTATGAATGTTTCATTTTAAAAATAGAGCGACATTCTTAAGTTTTTTTTTACTTTCATATGAAATATTATTATGAATCACAATTATAATTATTTATATTCTATATTGATATTTTTCTTGTTAAATTTCATTTGTATATTTACTTCCATGAAAATCATCCATATATATATATATATATATATATATATATGCATCTATGATTCTATGTATCTATATGTAAATTCTCTTTTGAAAATTATATTTTGTGAGTCATATAAATAGTAAGAACAATTTTTAATTTCACATGAAATATGAATCCACAGTTTAGTTGACTCCGTCATATTTAAGTCTATCGCCGCTGGCCAAAAAGTATTTAATACAGTAATTTATAATGGGCACACAAAGAGCACTTGATGTGCATGTGAAACCAAGGATACAGCAGCGTGTCTCGGATACAAGAGACGAGGTCCAAACATAAAATAGACCAAACCAGTTTGTCCTTCACTCTTCTGATACATCGCAATTACATGCATCAGTTTCAACAACTTCTAACGATAATAGTGGAGGTTTACACTTTGACATCTCAGCTGAGAAACTTCATTTTCTTCATCGGCTCTCGTCGTTGCGTCATGACAAGAACTCCTAAAAGTTCCGCCTTCACTCTGAGAATCTGTCCATAAATCCTGTTCTTTGTCTCGGAGTGCTCATAGACCTTGCCTTTCCTCTCACAGATTCTGTCACACCCAAGAGTGTTGGGAAAATTGGAGAATTTGGCATGGAACGGCCATCTACAACTGAACTTTTCTTCAGAAAAGAAAATGATTTCCTTGGGAATGAAAGCTGTGAAGTGACTGAAGTCAAGTCGTCTTCTTGCAGATGTTCCCCTATTTTCACATTCTTCTCTTCAACTTGTGTTGTATCATGCCATTCCCTAGCGATCAAATTTGAAGGAATTGTTGTTTCATAAATCACATCTCCATTACATTTTTCTTTGTGCAGCCATTGTCCTAGTGTACGGCAGCTCTCTCCTCTAAATTCCTTATAGGGAACAGATTCAACCCCCATGTGGCAAAATTTTCTCTCCTAAAGAAAATTGCATGGCAATTCTTAGATGCATATAGCATGTGACTAAATTATCACAAGAGTTTTACTGACACAGAAAGGATATCAGATGAGGTTACCCGGTGTGAGAAAGAGTACTGCTTCATGCGTTCTCTTTTAATAATAGCCTCTTGCTTTCTCAACCATATAGCTTCAATGTCTTCTTTTGAGTGCAAGCTGCGGTCCCAAGTTCTTTGACTATGGCATTCAAACTGTAACTAAATTCTTGAAAGAATTAGCAAGAGGAATTGTTCAGCATCAACGCAGATTTGATCTACCGGCTTACAATACAATTCAGCAGGGTCAGGGAAATAACTATAATTACAGTTGAACTACTGAAACAGAGGAAATCCTTAGAAATCAGTATGTCATTAGTTTATTGACACTATTCCCATTTTGGAAAATGGAATACTAATGCAATGTTTGTTACACAGAAAAAGATCTTTCTCAAAAGGAAGTAATAAATGCAACAATCTCATTTACTTTCTAGAAAACACTTTTTCATGTACCAAACATTGCCTAAAAATTATTCTGGCATGTTGATGTTAATATTGTATAGTTGTATACTAACCTTCATTTCCGTATCTTCCAACTTCTTTTTCTGCTTTGGAAGCTGCTTACTTTTAGCATCTTTGCTAATTCTATCTGCAGCATGACTACTGCTTTCCTGGATTCCTACCTGCTTTCTTCTGGTGGAACGCAAACCCATTTGACGTCTCACAGCTCGACCACGAACTATAGCTTGCAATCTGATAATTCCTTTCAGTGCTCTGAATGCTTTCCTGGCCTATTTCATTATCAGTTAAGAGTTCAACTGAATTGATGTCCACAGTTTACTTAATTCCACCCATACAATCAACTATAGTTTGACTGAATAGATTTGAGAACAAGGGAGTTGGCTCCCTAATACAAAATCAGGAACAACTACAAAATCCAGACTATTACAGTAATTATTATCCGATTCAAAAAGTAATCTGCTTGCAAATTTTTAATCAATTTTTCTCTAACAGTGGATAGATGCGCCTAATGTTTTGTAGCTGCCATTTCTCTTTAGTGAAGTAAAAACAAAAGAAGTTTCGTTCTGACTTGAAATTTTAACCACTATCTTTTGCTGGTTTATTTCATCTTTGAAGTGTAAACCTATTCAACCTAGACATATGGTAAAATGCATTAATAAGTTCTGAGGAAGCTCACCAGATGTCCACGGTATGCACTTTGAATTTTAGTAGCGGCCAAGTTTCGGTTTCCCTTGGAGAGATATGAGTAGGAGCGAGAAGCACCTGTGAGCCTGACAACTTCAGCAGCAGCATGAGCAGCAGCAACTGCGGCCTCAGCAGCTGCTGCTGTTGCAACAGCCACTGTCATTGCATGCTTTCTCTGCTCTTCTTTTGCTTCACGTAGTGTTCTGTTTGGTTCTGTAAGCGCGGCATGCTGTTTCTGCTTGACCCCCCCAAGACCACAACTCCATCTCCTTAAATTCTGAGATCACAGATAAAAGAGATATCAATCAAAATTGGCAATGTTAAGTAATGCTATTCTGTATGTAAGCGTTCCAGGAGACCTCTTACTTGGGGCTTTGCCTCACAAGTTGATAGCTTTTTGCTACATCCAAACAAGCAGTTCCACTTTGCCATGAAGAATTATAACATCTTATGAACCAAATACTCCAAACAGCATTCTCTCCTACTCACGCATGCTTTAGAGTTTAGACAGAGGAGAAAAGGCCAGCTGTAGAATTTGTAGACGGCAATATGTACATGATCAATGATTTCGTTGAGTAATTAAAATGCCTCAACAATCTCTACTCTACTCTACTCTATTTGCTCCTCCTGCTGTTCATTTGTCAACACGAACTGTGTGTGCAAGCAGTGACAAACTTTATTAGTACGGTCATTTAATGGCCTATCAGTACACAGGAATAAATTCTAAACAGCAGAGGCACTGAATCAAACACAAAAAGTGCACCACAGAAAAGAGTATATTTCAACAAGCATGAAGATGTCAATAAACTCAGAAAAAAGAAAACAGACCATTCCGCTAGACTAACCTTTTCCAAGGCCGGCGAATATCAATGAACCATACTGCGTAGAATGCCTGAAAAACAGCAGGCTTGGTTAACCCAAGGGAAGAATGGGCATAAATTGACAGAAACCCACTCAAACATTTACCCTATGAAATACCAAGCACCCCAACTTTTTGTACTAGACATTGATGACCATTTCTCCAAGAGGGTTTCTTCTTTATGTCATCAAAACTGGCTTTTTCATGAAATCATGTTTTTTTCACTTTTGAGTACCATTGAAAAGGTCCTCATAAAAGGGAATATGGAAGGAAGAAATGCATAGGGAAAAGGCACAGCAATGAATACTGTAATTTGATGTGGAAAATGCTGTTAGCCTCCCTTTCATGAGTGGGGATTTAAAAGCAAGTTAATTCAACTTCATGGGGTCCCTCTTGTCCTATCTTCTTCCATATGTCAATTTTTGCAACCGCTACGGTCCATTGCAAATGTCTGCTTTCGTCAAACTTGCGTGCCCTTTTGTATTTTCGCCTTCCTTCCCTCCGGAAGAGAAGCGAGCCATTCACCATAATCATTTTGAATCTGGTCTGCGGTCAATGCAAAAGCACTTTAGATAGTCCCCTGATTAAAAGCAAACCTAACACTCCTTTTGAACTTGGGTGGATCAATTTCCTAGAAACTTTTTGAATGTTTGCGATGAGTTAGTTGAAGGGATTTAGTTATTTAAACGGGCCTAAATAGAATTGTTCTGATTAAATCTGAGTTGCCGAACTATTATAACTTATTTCGTGCACTAAAAAATTAAGTGAAAAATTCATCTTATGTTCTCAATTGAAATTCATGCTCGCGTCCCTTTGTGAAGACAAACCCATTAAAATATGTCAATCTATTTATGGACTGTTCCGTAGGTTCGGGGACATGCTTCTTGTTCCTCTATACAAACTACATGATCCTTTCGTCATGGATTCGTGGATAAGGGCTTAAATTCCCATGTGAATCTTGGATAAAAAAATTAGAATTGCAACTGAGAGCCCAATGAAGACAGCGATGGATTTACCTGTAATGTTTGCCATAGGGTCGGCAACTCAATAAATACTCGAACCACCGAAGCATCCACATGATTTAACTTGTAAACCGTTCATCGAATATCTGATTTTGCTGCTGAAGAACTCGAATAATTTACTTTTCTGAAATGCGATGAAGACTATATGTTTAGTTTGATTTTCCAACAAGGCAATGAACATTGGAATTCAATTTTTACATATTTACTCTGGCCCTAGTTCTTTCTAGGGTAACTGATGTGAGCACGTTTTCTGACCTCTCTTTAGAAGCGGTAATATTTCTGGCTTCTAGAGTGGTCCATCGACATGGGAGAGGGTAAGGTGGCTCTTTCGCTGTTTAGTGTCCAAGGAAAGTCACGAGGCACTGAATTCCATAAGTTTGTTTGATTTTTTAGTCTGGCCTCTCGGTTTTTTCTCCCTCTTTTTTTGTTTGTTCGCTAATAAGGGAAAAAATGACTTTCTTTCTGCTTCAACAATGACCCAACATTAACAAGTATTCTTTCTGTACTAAATATAAAATCTATTTTATAGTATAGTTTATATTATAAAATAGATTTTATATTTAAAATGGAGTAGTATGGATTACGAGCAATGGCAGGAAAAATTGCTTTATGCAGAATTGCAGATCAACCTATGAGCAGTGTTTCTCTGTAGGGGGACATTTTGATTTGGTCAGAATTATCCGAAAGCATCCCCTTTTTAATGCAATTGCACACTTTTTCTAATCCACAGTTCTCAAATATGGTGATTGCTGACTTGATATGTGGGCTATTTTCCTGGCAAAGTTCATTAAAACTCCCTGAAATTAGATCGTCAACTAATTAAAGATTATTAGTCTAGTGACCAGTCAAATGGAGCATCATCATGGTTTCCAACCACACACATGCCCATGGTATGCCCCTGTGTCTCGTTGGAGACGTCGTCTAATCCCAATAACAGCTTGCATTTTTAGTCATTATACTGTTAACCGTAATGACGTCCCCAGGATGTATCATGAAGTCTGTAAACAGCACAAAAAATTAACTTCATGATCATTTGGTACAGAAGAATTTTGAAAGTGATAATTTAGCATTACTGTGGTGCTAATGTGTTATCTCAGAGCCAATGAAACCCCTCACATATTGTTCGGAAATTGAGAAACGGAGTTGCTAGGGCATCATCACCTGGATTTTCATCCTGGAACACTTGATTCATGACTCTGGTGGAGTTCACGTCCTGAGGTGGGCTCCAATCGGTGGACGCAGCCTCGTCACACCAGTTGCTGCTCTCTGGAGATACCTCTCCGGCGTCGAATCAGACCGCAATCCGACGTTTCGCGGTGTTGGGTAGTGATCAGCTGATCCTACGGTGAACAACAGAGAGAGAAACAACAGGAGGAAATGCGTCCATTGGCTCTGACAGGTGTCCGTAATCCAAGTGACTTTTATAACTGAAATTATAGTAAAAATCAGTTAGTGTAATGCGATTTATATTTAGATAGGTGTTTATAAAAAGTCAGTTAAAAAAATTAAAAGTTGTTTAGATGATTAATAGATAATTTAATTTAATTGTAAAATGATTGAAAAATATACAAACTTTATTAAATAGTAGTGGTATTTGAAATTTTATATTTTTAATATGATAATAATTTTAAAAAATACATAAAATTATTATGATAAGATATAAATAGTTTGTTTGTGAAATTATAAAATAAAAATATCTGTTACAGAGAAAAATTTGAAAAAACATTGTAGATAATTAATTAAATATACATAATAGAGAAACATGAATATAAATTAAAATTTATTTGGTTTCTAATTAAAGTAAATGAAATTACATAACTAATTATATCGTAAGTTTTGCACAATTTTTCCATAAGTCAGTTAGAAAAGTTGATCTAGATTGCGTTGGATAAGTCAGTTAGAAAAATTACTTTTTTTCATAAGTCAGTTAGAAAAGAAACCCCATCTAAATAATCTTCTGAGTTATAATAAGCTACAAATCTCAATTTTACGTTTTTCCGTGTGTTTTTACCATCCTCATTTTGGTGGATTGGAGTTGGCCGAAGTCTTTGAGCGGAATAACAATTTTGTTGCTCGACAGGTAGTCCATTTCTGGTTAAGATTTCTTATAATTTATTACTCCTCCGGTTTTTATTATAAGACTCAATTTAACTTTTTATTTGGTCCTAATTATAAGACCCAATCCATTTTGTCTCTTATATTTATGCATTTTTTTCCAAGATAATCCTTCTAATAATGATAGTTTTAGCCAATATACTTAATTAACAAGGATATTTTAGGAATGACAACACTTATTTATTATAAATAACCAACTTAACCTACTTCCTTAATCTTCTCAAATAAGTCAATTGGGTATTATAATTAGGACCGGAGGAGTATTTCATTTTTCTCCCCATTTCTGGTACAACGCCCGCAAGACTTCAATATATGGTTACGTAGTTTCTATAATATTGTTCGCGAAAAAAAAAATATCCATAATATTTGATTGATATTAGTTTACGGGGACTGTGCCAACACTAGAACGTCGCACAAGTATACTCCTCCCATACTTCATTAAATTTTTAATATATTATTTTATCATTTATTTATTATAGTGTAGATATTTAATTTTTTAAAATATATATTAAATAAAGATAAAATTTAAAATGTATTATATTTCAATAGAGAGTTAATATAATTTTAAAAAAAAATTTGTCTGTATAAAATACGTAGAAAATATCTTCTAAATAAAATCAAAAGAGTATGTATGACTAATGTTAGAACACTTTTTCGGTTTATGTGGCATTATAAACTTTGTTTGTTTATTTGTCTTTTGTTTAATAGCTTAATTATCATAAAAGATTGAAGTGCATGTCACTCTTTATTTTTCAACGTTAAGCCATTTATTATTATTTATATGTATATAAATTATATGTAATTTTATAAATAGTGTGACATGTTTTCCAATGGTATGAATGATGTACGTAAAAACCTGACTGGAGTTATTCTTCAGTTTTCATGTAACGGATATGGAGTGAGGCCGAAGAAGTCCTCAATGGTTGCTTATGAGGAATTGGTGGTAATTGATGATTAATGAGTGTGAGCATAAGGTGTCCCTTTCTATTTTTTATTCAACCAACTACTCTTCTTGTTTTTTTTTTTAAGTTTTTGGTGCAGACTACAAAACTAATTTTGCAAAATTGATACTCTTCTGATCCTAAATATAAGACCAATTTTATAGTGTAAGTTACATTACAAAATAAATCTTATATTTAGAACCGGAGGATTTTGGCGTGCCTTTATATTCCATTAGTACTGTAGACGAAGTTGAATTCTTCAGACCAAGGAGAAGCACGTCGAGAAAGGTGTATTAATATTATCTGCATCCCCATTTGTTATTGTTGTTTAAAGAATGAAAAACCTAGTTGAAGATAAATATAAGTGCAACAAACGCACAAGAACATTTACTCTATTTTTGTGTGTTTTCTCTTTTATCAAGATATTGCCAGGACGTCTAGCTCAGGACAACTTCACTATGAACATTGCCATCCTCCATCCTTATCCAAGATCGAAGAGAGAAGGGTTTCTCAGAGATTTCCACAATTCTAGCCCCTCTAGGCCAATTTCCATAGCCGCCATACCCGGTGTGCCTGGCATAGCACAGCCATAGTCTCTTGTATGGGCAGCACCAGTCCAATCCGTGGTTGTGTCCAACAAATATTGCCTGCAGTTGTAAAAAGAATAACTCAATGCCAGCTTGTGTCCATCAAAGCAAATTCGTTCAATCAGCAAGTTTCCTAAACTCGATAATTCTAACCATGCACAGGAATGTTTAAAGGATTTTCAAATGTATACTACCAAACCAGGTCATACAGTAGCGGTAGACGCATCAGATCAGTAACATATATATCTGAAGTCAAACTATATACTCGTAGTCTCGTATCATCCAACTCTAATGTTGCTTATAACGACTGCGTTGCACGGTACACTATTACCCTTGTTTACATATAGTTTGTTGGCTAGGTTCTCTACCTTGACAGAAGTTCTTTCCCCAAGGAGTTTCATGATACCCGTTTCAGTTTCTTGAGCAGCAACCTCTTCTTTGTTGATAGAACCCACGCAAGGTTTGGCTATTGTGGACTTGGGAGCCACCTCTTTATAGGCTTTAGTTGGTATGTGCCAGAAAATAATCTCAGGAACCCTGTCAGGCAATGATTTGTCAATTTGGATGATAAGGAACTAGGAATGTGAAAAAGGAATACGAAGATTCAAAATGTAATGAATTCTTTTTCAAAATGTATATCTTACTCATTGTCTTTAATGGTAGGGCAAACATGAGAAATCAAACAAGTTATGCGTTGTTTCTACCTTGACTCGGGGTTCATGTCTTGAGCTTTCTTCTGGAACCATTCTGCTTGGCCACTGGAAATGACTTCAGGATAGGAACCACCGCCAGAATCAAGAAAATATAGGAAAGCCACAGGTGACTTCTTATCATCTGATGAGGAGACTTGGAGGGCATAGTTGGATACACTAGGCCAAAGCTCCCTAGGACCATTCACAGAAAAGGAGGCATTGTTCTTGATCTCATTTTTCATAAGTTCCACTCGTCCAGTTCCCTTGAAGCTACATTCTTCTTCTGCTGAAAAATAAGAAGAAGAAGGAGATGCCTTAGCTGAAGTACTTTTTTATGGGAAGAAGATGATGAGCGCCACTGCTAAATCATGTTATCCCTAATACTTCAATTGATGGAACATAGGCTTAAGTTATATTTCTGCCTAAATAACAACTTAACACTGCTTATAATTAACTTCTGCAAGCTTTTCAACATCGGGCGTCTCATAGGAAGCAGTAAACAACCATAACAATAATTAGAAACCCCACAAGCACCTAATAGTTAGTGACTTAACACCTGAATATGAAGTGGTAGGTTGGGGACAGCGAATTGGGGGGATTCCAGGTGAAGAGAACCACTCTATTGGCCACTCAAATGGAGCATCATCATGGTTCCCAAACACACTTGCCCACGGTATGCCCCTGTTTCTTGTTGGTGAGATTGCCTCATCCCAATACAAGCTTGCATTCTCAACCATTATGTTGTTGGCCGTAACAACATCTCCAAGATATATTACAAAACCTATCACCAACCACAATTAACTACGTTAGCATTTGGTACAGAGGAATTTGAGAAATTACAAATAACTTCACAATGCAGTAATGTATAGAACTCCCCTGTTTTGCGCAGAGAGACAAAACCAGAATATTCATTCGCAAAAAGCAATGAGCATCAGTACAGGGATATATATTCTGGCCTATGCACGTGATAATGTTACTCTTCTCTCTCTATAACTAACTCCAAAGGCAAAACTTACCTCTTCCTTCAATACAATTACCATAAACCCCCTTACCAATGTTACGCAAATATCATCCCCATAGACGCCTATTGTCAAAAAAAAACTTCAGAATCACCTGGAGTTTCATCATGAAGCACTTGATTCATGACTCTGAAGGAGTTTACGTCCTGAAGTGGACCCCAATCAGTAGACTCGGCCTCTCCAAAATGCAAGTCGGCAAAGAGAGCTATCTTGAAGGGCGCACCGGCGGCTAACTGGAGATGCCTCTCCGGCAGTAATCTGATGTTTCGACATCCTCGGCATCGGTGGTGATCTACTGATCCCACGGCGAGCAACTGAGAGAGAAACAACAAGGGCAAAAGCATCATCTGGTGGCCTTTACAGGTCTCCAAGAGGGGCCGAACGAAAGGAAAAGCAGAAGCAGAAAAAACGGTTGCAGGTGACGGATAAGCATATGATGGATTCGGCAAAGTTGGAAGGAGTTCAACAAAATTACATAAACACTGAAGTATTGTTTGCAAGTCATCGTCAGTAGGTGATTGGGTTGGATTCGATGCCGCGTATACACTGTACCACTACTAATATTAATTTTTATCCCATTTAACTTTTATTTTGATCTTAAATATAAAATTCTAATATATTTTATTTATCATATTTATTTTTTTAAAGTAGTCTTTGTAATAATGATAGTTTTAACCAATACACCTGATTAGTAATGATATTTTACGAAGAACAATACCTATTTATTACATATAACTAAATTAATTAATTTTCTTGATCTATTTAAATTAATCAATTAGTTTTTATATTAAATACTGAATATAGTATTCTTCCGGTTCTAAATATAAGACCCTTATAGTCAATTAGCATTAATTAGCCGGTTGGATTTCACTGCTTTAAATGGCATTAATAAGAATAACAAAATTGTTCGGTGAGAATATCCATTCATAAACTTCTCTTAATTAAGCGGCTTTATCATAAAGGATTCATGCGTCCTCTTTGCCCTTGCTTGCTAATGAAGTTACTGTGATCTATTTATATCTGCACCAATACACACACAGCAGAGTAGTGCACATCTTAGCGAAAAGGCCTGTCTCAATAGGATTGAAAAATTAGGTAAATTATAACTTCATATTATAATTTCAATTGGAAAATTCCTGGATTCAATTGGAAAATATCCAATTATAATATTTATAGCACTATTTGTAGCTTTGAAAATATTTGATGTGATCGCTCTCTATGTATTAAAAAAGCAGTGGTCGCTAAAAACAATCCTAGATGGATGAGATGTTGTAACTCGCTATGTGAAGGTTATTAATATTATTCTTGTTAGTATCTATATAAAAATTGTGGATGACATGAAATATTGAAATTGTTACTTACTTAATAAAAATTGTTAATAACTAATGAAATGCAATTAATACTTATGTTAAAGTTGTGAGTGATCTGAAAGAATAACTCTATCTTAACTTCTAAATTTCAAAAGTTAATAACAATTTTTCAATTCATTCTACCAATTTCAAAGTAGAAATTAATAAATCATCATTCTGATCTAAACATTTTGAGAAGTGAGAAAAAATCCATGTCTTAAGGAAAGCCTTAATTTTTAAATTTCGGGCGGTTATGACAAATTTTTAATTTATTTTATTAATTTTGGAATAGAAATTATAAAGACCATTTGCATATTTTTGCTTGAAATTTGTTTCGTTATAAGAACTAGCAATATTCATGTACTTTTTTCTTGGATTTCTGTAAATTTGAAGTTGTTCATGGGTCATTTTCCCCATGCTTAAAAAGAGGGAAAATTATAATGAAAATAGTTTAAGATGTAATTTTAATCCCAATCTTACTTTGTCTGGTGTAATTTTACCTCTGATTTTTTTTATAGGTGTAATTATGACTTTGATTTTTTTTCAATATAATTTTGCCTCTCAGGGCCAAAATTGCACAGAGAATTAGAAGTAAAACTGCGTTCAAGAAAAAAAAAGGGAAAATCACTAACAGGTCCCACATAAGGTAATTTATTACTCTGAGGTCTCACAAAATGTCAAAATTACTGACAGGTCCCAAGGGACCTCAAAGTAATATTTTCGTTTTGTAAAATGACATTACTGCCCCTTATATTCCAGATTCACATTTGCTCTGTCATTACGATTTACAACCTCAGCAGCGACTATTAACAACCTAATGAGAGGGCGTTAACAACCCTAGCAGTATCCGTTAACAACTTACTTTATAGAATTATATAACCTCTACATAAGAGTAAATTATAACCAAATAATATAATACAACAACTTTAACACTAAAATGGGAAACTTTTGATATCATTAAGAATTTTAACTAGATCCAATAGGATTATAGTAATATTTTAATGCGAATATCCATTTACAATCTCAACAGCGATTATTAACAACCGAATGAGAGGGCATTAACAACCTAAGCAGTAGCCGTTAACAACTTACTTTATAGAATTATATAACCTCTGCATAAGAGTAAATTATAACCAAATAGTATAATACAACAACTTTAACACTAAAATGAGAAGCTTTTTGATATCATTAAGAATTTTAACCAAACCCAATAGGATTATAGCAACATTTTAATGCGAAAATCCATTTACAACCTCAACAGTAAGTATTAATAACCTAAGGAGAATTGTTAACAACCTTAGCAGTGTCTGTTAACAACTAACTTTATCGGATAATATAACTTCTAACTATAACTAACTAAACTATAACTAAATAGTCTTAAAGTTAATCTTATATAGTTGTTAGAGGTTATATTATCCTATAAAGTCAATTGTTAATAGATACTGCCTAGATTGTCAACAGCTCTCTTTGGGTTATTAATACTCACCATTGAGATTGTAAATGGATTTTCGCATTAAAATGTTGCTATAATCCTATTGGGTTTGGTTAAAATTCTTAATGATATCAAAAAGCTTCTCATTTTAGTGTTAAAGTTGTTGTATTATACTATTTGGTTATAATTTACTCTTATGCGGAGGTTATATATTCTATAAAGTAAGTTGTTAACTGATACTGCTTAGGTTGTTAATGCCTTCTCATTCGGTTGTTAATAGTCACTGTTGAGGTTGTAAATGGATCTTCATATTAAAATATTACTATAATCCTATTGGATCTAGTTAAAATTCTTAATGATATCAAAAAGCTTTCCATTTTAGTGTTAAAGTTGTTGTATTATATTATTTGGTTATAATTTACTCTTATGTAGAGGTTATATAATTTTATAAAGTAAGTTGTTAACGGATACTGCTAGAGTTGTTAACGCCCTCTCATTAGGTTGTTAATAGTCGCTGCTGAGGTTGTAAATCGTAATGACAGAGCAAATGTGAATCTGGAATATGAGGGGCAGTAATGTCATTTTACAAAACGAAAATATTACTCTGAGGTCCCTTGGGACCTGTCAGTAATTTTGACATTTTGTGGGACCTCAGAGTAATAAATTACCTTCTGTGGGACCTGTTAGTGATTTTCCCAAAAAAAAATCAGAAGTGAAATTATACCTGAGAAATAAGATCAGGCCGTCGGGGGTAAAATTATACTTGAAAAATAAGTTCAGGGCCAAAAACGACACCCAGGTTTATCGTTCCGAGTCCTAAACCCTTGGCCGCCATAAGCCTTTCGTTTGGAGAAACAGGAGCCGAAACGTTCCTGCTAATGCAATACGAAAAATGGCGTTCAGAGGGAAGGAGATGATGAAGAAAGTTCTCAAGAAAGTGGGGGAGCACAATTTGGCCCCCGGAGTGAAGGAATCTTTGGAGAAATGCATGCCCAAAAGCAAGGTCGTCATGGGTCGCGCAAAACGCGGTATCTATGCCGGAAGACATATCCAGTTTGGCAATCGCGTCAGTGAAGATGGTGGTAACAAGTTTGTACTCTCTGCTGCTTTCCATTTATGTTAGCCTTTGATTCCTGTGATTTTGAGCTATCTTGGATTTATTTTGGAAAGTATGATGCTTTATCTTTGTGGTAATCTCGTAGATCCCAGCTTTTAGGGTATTCATTACGGGCCCTTTGATCTGACTGTTTCAACCGCAGAACCTACCATTTTTTTCCTGAAACACGAAATATAGTTTGGTGTCATGAGATTTATGGGAAAGTTTTGCATTTTGAACCTATTAACTTCTTTGTAATTTCAAATGGTGTCTTAGGCGGAATGTCTGTGTAATCGTGTCTATACGAGTGACTTCATTGGGATTTCATTCCTTTATCGTTTTTGGAGTTGGATCATGTGGTTGGCTTATTTGCTGCCGTGACAATCTTTTCTTAAATCGTCAAGAGACTCCAGTGCCTGTGGAGTGTTGAAACAGAAGTTAAACACGCATACCCTCTCACACGAGAATATGCTGAGAAGCGTAATGATAGCCTGCAATCACTTCAGTAATTGTGAATTGATACTATGTTAATATCTTCTGATAAGAAATTAAATTTTTTTACTGAATTTATATTATTGAAACTTAGAAAGAAACAAACCAAAGTTCGGCTTTATGGTGCTTGGTAAATTATATTCGCGGCTCTCCCTTTTATAGCCAAAATGTGTATGCCTTCACAGTTCTCCTATGTGTTTATACTATAGACGATCAGCTATATACGTTTTGTTTTGTTTTGCATAATGTTTGAGGTGGTTCAGCCTTCAAACTTTACATTTCAGCAATAATCTTCCTCAGAAAATAAACCAGCATGATTTATTGATTTGAATGGAGACATGAAAGTGACAAGACACATTTAAATTACTCAATGATATTTTATGTTTGTGTAATCAATCCTATTGAGGTTCTGTGATATTTTTCTGATTTAGGCCAGTTTATCTCAATGGTATGAGGTTCAATTTTTGAAACTATAAGCTATAAGAGTCAAAGAGCTAATCAGTTTTGGACTCAGTGCAAGAAATATTGTGACCCCCCCCTAGATCTAGAGTACGTGGAGAGTGGCTATTGATTTGTTGGCGACTCATGCTTTCTTATAGAAATCGGAATCAGATGAATGTCCAGCTTATCATCTCTTGATGCTCAATTTTGTGTAAGCAAGGGATTTTACCCTCAAAAGAAAGGAAAGAAGATATATTAGCAAATAAAACTCATTCTTTTTCTGATGGTGTTGATAGGACAAGGAGAACTTGGAAACCTAACGTCCAAGAGAAACGGCTCTTCAGTTATATCCTGGATCGCCACATTCGAGTTAAGGTCACCACACATGCCCTTCGTTGCATTGACAAGGCAGGTGGGGTTGATGAGTACTTCCTGAAGACTCCATATCATAAGTTGGACACAGAACTTGGCCTCTTTTGGAAAGCCAAGATTGAGAAGCTATACGAGGAACTTGGGAAGATGGAAGTTGTATTCTTTTCACCAGAGGATGAACAGAAGTTTGAACAGGGTTTTAAAGAACTGAAACTGTCTGAAAGGGAAGCTCGAAGGGAATTCCGAAGGAAGATGTATGCCGGAATGAACAGACACAAGCAGAGTGAGCTAGAAAGTAAGGACGAACAATCTACTGATATGGGAGGCAGTGGAATCGAGGACAGGATATCACGTGAATCTGAAGAACGGTTGGCCGCAGTTTCGTACGGACTAGCTGCTGACAATCTCGAAGCCGGGAATTTAGTTGCTAATTACTAATATTTTTATTAACTGGTATCTCTTTGTAAGCTGGTGGAGTTTTTGAACTGGCTTTTTTACCCTCCATCTGCATCTCGATTTCTTCACTTCTTCAATCTATTTCACTTAGCGGGACTTCATGATGGGCAATTTGGCGAGTAGGAATTTGTTATAAGATACTTGTAACATTTGTAGCCCGAGGTGGATCTGTGAGGGCAAACTTTTAAATAATGAATATTAGCAGTATGTATATGCACTTTTTAAGGCCATAATATATACGTACATGTACATGTATATATGTATGCATGCTTCATAATCCTTAAGATCAAACGATATAATTTTTTTACAAAGATTTTTCGGAAAATCTATCCCTTTTTTTTTTCTGGGGTCTAACACTCTTGGTGAAGATTTAATTTGTAAGAATTAGGTTGATATTGCTCATTTTATTAATTTTTTTTTCTTAGAAAGTTGTTTCATTTTTCAATTAAAAAATTAAAAAGGATTTGCAATCCAGCGCGCTTTAAAGTTTAAATCATGGCTTGGCATTTTGTAAGGATATATTTAATTAACTAAAATAATCTTTTGACCTTGAATTAACTAAAATAATTAGAAGCATCACATCACATCACAAATCTAAAATTCTAAAAATTATAACTCAAACAGGTGTGCATAAAATTGAAGATAAAGGTTAGCAAAAGTGTAAAGAATTTAATGTAAATATAAAAAAAAATCAAAATTAAAGAAAACTCATGTCGTTTGCTGCGGTGCTTGGCTATCTGCCTATCTCTCGGATTCCAAATAAACCCTCGTCTTGCGAGGGGCGGCGTTCTCTTCCTGTTCCTCGCCTCCGCACATCCGTGTTCTTTCTCATCAGTCGTCTCTGCCTCCGCTGTTGAACTACACCACCGGCTTCGACTATTGTTATTTTCTGCTCCGACGAGTTAAGGTGACCCTTCCCTCCCTAATTTCTCTGTTCGAAACCACCGTTGGTTCTAATTCTCCTGATCTTTTGAGTTGAGCTTGAGTTGTTTTTTTTTTTTTTTTTATCATTTTTGATGATTAATTCACTGCTTTCATGTTCGAAACATAGTGGAATACAGGCTGGGCGTGGGAAGATCTCATTTCCTTCCAAGCTGTTTCTTTTCCTTTCTAGCTTGTCTATTAGTGTCTTGGATATAATTTATATCTATACAGTAAATACACTGGATTTAGATGTTGAAAGTTGTTGGAGATGATGTTAATGGCACCTGAATTAGTTTGATTTCAAATTTAAGAATTTTCATTTATTGGTTTATTAGTCAGGCATTATGGAAGTCGAGGAGGAACAGACTACGTCAACTGTTTCTGCAGAAACCTCTGTACCATCATCTGATGTTCAAAGCACGGTTTCTCCTGTTCCTGCTGTGCTGCCCTCGCCAGTGCAACCTGTTATTCCAACAGTTCCACCATCTATTGTGCCCCCTATTGCTCCTATTCCTTCAATTCCTCCTCCCACCACTCTCCGCCCACTGGCGCCACTTCCTGTTCGTCCACCATCTATTAGGCCACCCATGTCACAAAATGGTGAGGTTAGATCAACTGACTCTGATTCAGATCATGATGACTCCGGCCCTGGGATAAACAAGGGTACAGGGGAGTATGAGATATCAGAAGAGAGTAGACTGGTTAGAGAGAGGCAGGAAAAGGCAATGCAGGAGCTTATGATGAAGAGGCGTGCTGCTGCTCTGGCTGTTCCAACAAACGACATGGCTGTGCGAGCTCGTCTGCGCCGTCTTGGTGAACCGATCACTCTTTTTGGTGAAAGGGAGATGGAGAGAAGAGACAGGTTGCGAATGATTATGGCAAAACTGGATGCTGAAGGTCAGCTGGAAAAGCTGATGAAAGCTCATGAAGATGAAGAGGCTGTAGCTTCTGCTGCACAAGAAGAAGCTGAGGAAGACCTACAGTATCCCTTTTACACTGAAGGGTCAAAGGCCCTCCTGGATGCCAGAGTTGATATTGCTAAGTTTTCTTTAGTAAGAGCAGCAGCACGTCTTCATCGTGCTCGAAGAAGAAGAGATGATCCAGATGAAGATATAGATGCAGAAATGGATTGGGCACTGAAGCAGGCAGAGAACTTGGTTCTTGATTGCAGTGAGATTGGAGATGACCGGCCACTTTCTGGTTGCTCCTTCTCAGCAGATGGAAAATGCCTTGCTACCTGGTATGCTTTTGCTACAAACTGTATAGTAACACTATTGTCTCTCTACTCCATTGAAACCATTCTAGCCTAATCTGGTTCTGTACATAGAGCTTGCTTAATAGAAAACATCGGCTCTCAATTACTTTTGAGCAGCTTTGATGAATTTTATTGTGCTGTAAAAGATTGAGTGCGATTTTGATTGGCTTTCTGCTACCAAGAGTAGCTTTCAAAATCGCTTTTGCATTCACAAGAAATTGAGAACGTGAATGTGAATTTAGATTGCAATATCTTGTTCAGAATCATTTAATGTCCGACAAAACATGCTCCTGTTGTGGTCAAATCTTTGAGAATCTGGTGTTTCCATCTCCTTACTGCGTTGAATAGTAAATATAATCAATATCAGAATGTAAAAGAAAGAAGGATTTTTCTTCATGCCAAAATGTTCAACTGGTGCCCTGGTCGTCGTGGGTTGTAATTCATTACTTGTACTGTGCCTAAAATGTCCCAGTGGTGTTTTATTTTTTAGTTCCCTGACTGGAGCTGCGAAGCTTTGGAGCATGCCTGAAGTTAAAAAAATTTCTACCTTCAAGGGGCACACAGAGCGTGCTACTGATGTTGCTTACTCTCCTGTGCACAACCATTTAGCAACTGCCTCTGCTGACCGCACTGCAAGGTATTGGAATGATCAAGGGTCTCTTTTAAAGACATTTGAGGGTCATCTTGACCGTCTTGCTCGCATTTCCTTCCATCCATCTGGGAAGTACTTGGGCACTGCTAGCTTTGACAAGACGTGGAGATTGTGGGACATAGAAACAGGAGAGGAATTGCTTCTCCAAGAAGGTCACAGTAGGAGTGTATATGGTTTAACTTTCCACCATGATGGATCATTAGCTGCATCTTGTGGACTGGATTCACTTGCTCGAGTTTGGGACCTTCGTACTGGGAGAAGTATTCTTGCACTGGAAGGTCATGTCAAGCCGGTGAGATATTGAAGTTTCTCTCCAATCTCTATCCTGGCCTCCCTTTTCCCTTCCTCAAGATCACTGCTTCACACACTTGGCATTGCATGATCTAAATTATACTTGTGATTTGTTTCAGGTTCTTGGCATCAGTTTTTCACCTAATGGTTATCATTTAGCCACAGGTGGTGAAGACAACACTTGTCGCATTTGGGATTTGAGAAAGAAGAAATCCTTGTACGTCATACCAGCTCACTCTAATTTAATATCACAAGTCAAATTTGAGCCACAAGAGGGTTATTTTTTGGTAACAGCTTCGTATGACATGACAGCGAAGGTATTCTTCCTGAATTAGCAGTGCTTTGTTGGATATCAGAATGTAACATTCTTCTATATAGGAAGTTCGTTCTATTTAATTTCTTATATCTAAGTATTAATCCAGGTATGGTCAGCTCGTGATTTTAAGCCTGTCAAAACGTTATCTGGGCATGAATCAAAAGTCACTTCTCTAGATATTCTTGGAGGTAAGTTTACCACCTGTCATTTACCGAGATGTTGGCAACCAAATTCTATCTCCTCTCAGCCTCTTCTGTTTTCCTTACATTCACACTTTCCTTTCCCCTATCAATTTCTCCACCACCTAATATGTAAATAAGTGATTATCACAAGTCTACCTAGTTGATTGATCAATTCCGAATGTCATGGAAAGTGCAATGGGACTCCTAACGGATAACCTAGCATATTTTGGCTTTGTTTAGAGATGCAGTCCAGCGGGGGACATTTATTGTGTGCTGTTAAAAACCTGCTCTTGCATTTAATTATTTACCTCTCGTGACAAAATTTATGATGTGTCGTTGCAATCATGAAAGTGGTTGAAAGGAAGAATTACTCTATTTTTCATTTTCTATTCTCTTTATGTTTTTAGCAACTTTTGAAAGACAAGACTTTAACTAATTTTTTTCCACACGACAGTCTTCTCGCTAAGCATGTAAGCTTCAATCTAAATTTGTTTTTGTTGGCAAAAAAAATCTAAATTTGTTTTTGAAAATGCTGAAGTGCATGTCTTCCGGATTTTTTTTTTCAAAGTATCATAACCAAAGGAAAAATCTAGACGAGTGAGTGAAGAAATTTTGTTATTGAATTGTGCCAACTGTTGGGCGTTCAAGACGAAAGTTGGAAACAATTTTCTTTCATGGCCTGTTTTGCATGACAAGTCCTATTATTGTCTAGGTGCCATCTTCTCTTCTTTGTGTTGAATAATGAATGGTCAGTGTAATCTCAAATTATGAACATATGAACAAAACAGCATTTGGTTAATTTTGTTAGTCTGTTATTTTCTTTTGGCAGATGGCTTGTGCTAATATATGTTGTGTACCTCTGCTGTCTGTTCTGATTTTGCCTCCTTATTTATGGCAGATGGACGTTATATTGCTACTGTCTCCCATGATCGCACCATAAAGCTGTGGTCCAGCAACATGACTAGTGAACAAGCTATGGATGTTGACTGAGCTACCCTGGTCAGAATACAATTTCTGAAAGGACCCTAGTTCGCGGAGTCGCATTTATCTTGGGGCTCACCAAGTCGGCCAAAAACATTTTGGCAAGAAAGGCATTACCAATCAAGTGGCAGAGACGGTGCAAGGCAATTTTGACTTAGAAAAGTGGGTTGAGAGAGGATGTCATGGTTCTAATTACCCCTTGGAAAAAAAACAAGGCCGAAGATCTAGCCATTAGGGGTTGAACTCGGTAGACAGAATTAGCGTTCTTGCTTTTGTATTCAGGATCTGCCGATGCCCCCAGTGCTCCCATGTGCATGACGTTATGTATCAGAATCCATAAACCTAGAGAATGCATCATACTTAACTGTAATAGAGTTCATTTACTTCCAAAAGCCAACATGCTTGCAACTGATGCGATAACCTTCGGCCAACGTCAAGGGCAATTATCCTGGTATATTTGTTGAAGGAATCTGTGTAGAAAATGGCCTAGAGCCCAAGATGTAGCTTATGTGTCCATCCAAATTCTAAAGGATGTGTACGTGCGGGGCCAAATGTTTCTGAGCGATTAGTACCAAATTGCCGAGGGACTATGTTGTATCCCAATCTTCCCGTGGGGGGGGGGGGGGAGTCACCACCCCACTAACCTGTCAATTTGTTTTTCTATTCCAAGCAAACCAAGGTAGATATAGGTAGACAAAATTGTAGATATTGCCAATTCATGACGGCAGGAATCTCTGGCATTTTGACCAAAAAGAAAAAAAAAAGACTGAACGCTCATCCTAGAACTAGCAAGTTGTAACGCAGCGTCATCTCAATTTTATCATGAAATGGGCGAGTACCATCCAAATTTTAACGGATGTCCCCAAAGGGAGAGATCGCGTTATCAACATTGCTTAATATCCCAAGTATAGTTGAAGAGAAATCTTGGAACCAAGGGACTTTATTTATACATGGTCCCTTCTCCGCTATCAACTCGCGTCACCATTGCCTCCGTTGTCTTTCTTTTTTTGTTTGGGGGGGGGGGGGTTAGTTTATTTGATGCTTCTTCATTCCCGTTTTTTCGATTTTCTTGACAGGTGTTCAAATGGGGGAAAATTCAACCATTAGGCGTGCCTGCAGTAAGATTTGTTACTAGTTTTAACTTCGCGGTCCCCACTATGTCATGGCTCAGTAATTAACAAAAATTACATGAAACAAAAATCCCATGGTAGGGGTAAGTAGGCAATGCCACTGCAAGATCAGCTAAAGTGTTTTAGGAGTGCTACAACTTGACAATAAGGCCAATAGGGCAATGATCACTACCTTCTACGTCGGGTAGAATGTAGGAGTCGTGAACCTTGTCAGCTATGGAGTCCGAAACAAGGAAATAGTCCAGTCGCCACCCTGTTTTAAATTACAGAGCAAAGAAACAACAGAGAAAGTGAGCTTTTTTCGAACGGCCTTCAAGATGATAATGACATCCCAGCAGATGAGTTACTAATTTTCACTTGTAACACCACAGCATCCTAAACAAGTTCAAATTATAATAATAGTTCTAAGAGCGAGCACACCATAACTACCTTTGTTAGTTTTACGCGCACCATGTCGATAGCCCCAGTAAGTATATCCAACTACCCCAGGGTGCTGCCTTCTAAAGGTATCCACAAATCCCTTTGATAAGAAGTTTTCAGTAAAAGAGTTCCTTTCTTCATCCGTAAAACCAGCACTTCTTCTATTCCCCTGTAGCCACATTAACAATCAGAACACAGCTGATTTTTCCCCTGCTTTGGCTGCCAACACTAATGCAGATGCAGACATCGGTTATCAGAGTGCTCGCTTAAATTTCCATTTGTCTTTGTTTCCTAAGTATGTTAAACAAAACATGCATAGATTGCATTATATAAGTAAACAACTTTAACATGCCCCAAAAAAGGCTTGAAACAGTAATGCCAGTGTTTTGCAAAGTGAGCCACTTTTCCATTATAATTCTAATAACACCCACTTGTCCTGCTAAGACGTGACATGATTTATTACCTACTCCTAATACATGCTTGACATCTTGATCAAGCCAGTTGATCTTCAAGATCCTCTCAGAAGTAAGGTAGGGCTCCGGAGCATGCCTATCATAAGTGATGTCTCTGCTTGGTAACATCACCTTCAGATATTGTCACTACCATACCCTCTCTACCTCACCAGCTCAAGAATCTTAAGTCCCGTTTGGTACAAATTATTAAAAATGAAGGGTAAGGACTAGGATTGGAATTGAGAAAATGTATTACAAAAGTGTTTAGCATAAAAGATTGCTTATTACATGAGATTAGGTAAACCCATGTAGCAAGCAATTACTCATGTTAAATACTTTTTTTAATGATTTTTCTCAATGGTAATCTCAATCCTTACTCTCATTTTTAATATTTCGTATCAAACAGGACCGTAAGATCTCAGCATCAATTACACTAAGTCGCTACACATCACAAGAGGATTGTTCATTGAATTTGAAGTCATTTTGCAAGTGATCCCAATAGCTATTATCCAAGCAATGATAGACCCATAGCATCTATAATTACTGGTTCACTACCAGTAGTACGATAGTTTGGCCTCGTATATTTTGTGAACACCTCGTGCCCTCATGCAATAATTGGCGTATCACATTAGGTCACTTAATTTAGGGGATACAGAGACTTCCTTTTCATCAGGGAAATAATAAAACATATTATAGGATCAAACATAGACTCTTCAACAGTGTAAGCGCTCTGTAGTTCAGGGAAGCAGATCCCACCTGATGACTCAAACAATATCTGTAAATTCATGCCAAATGTGTCACTTTTAAAGATAATCAAATTTTATTTCATGCTTCGCAGCAGTTCTTAACACAAACGACTGGAATACTATAGGGTTCAAGTTTACCAAGTCTTACCAACAACTTATTTACAACATTTTTTAGTTTGTTTCTTAACTGAGAATATTCTTACCAGGAGGTCATCCCTGGCATTCCTCTCTTTTCTTTTCCTCTTCAAATCCAGTAACTCAGACAGAAACAATGGATTCATACTGAGACTTGCGTATGACACTCTCATTGTTTACATGGAGAAACTTAGGTCCGGATAACTTACAGCAGGGTTATATATGTCTATCTCCTCATGAGCACAATTTAGATCACCAGTCAAAATCACCGGTTTCGACTTCTCCAGCTCCTGAATCCAGCATATCAAAATTGAGCCATTAGAGATACAATACACAACTACAATGTTTAAAAATATTTATTTCACATAAAAAAAAAATTTACCCACAGATAATAGGTTGAAAAAGAAAGAGACTCCAACATAGAATATCACCCCCTCCTAAGATTTACTGTTCGAATAAAAATCATAATTTTGACATGCCAGCCATACGCCATATGGTACAATGCTATTTGGTCTATCAAATCTACAATTATCAAGTACAACTATGAGATTGGTGAACACCAAAAGGTCAAGAAAAATCACACAACAGATTTGAATAACCAAGCCACTCATGCTGAACATGTCCAACATGTTAAAATGGTTACACAAGTTGTTTATGTAACATGATGAATTACCACATATTGCTAGCAAATATAAATATGAATGAGTATTTCCACCCTCCACCTGCCATATCATTAAGCAAATTTACAAAAATAACCCAAAAAATGGAAACATAGATAGACGATGAATTCTTGGAAAAGAAAAGAGGAGAAAACAGGATGATACATACTTTCATATAATTACTGAGAGATGGATCCCACTGAGTAATTCTGTAAGACTAGGATCAAAAGCAGAGTTAGTTGGACGGGGATACTTAAATTAAAATGACAAACTATAGAGATCTAGAAATGAAATGGGAATTTCCGAATCCAATCTTCTTAAGTCATATACCAATCTTTTTAATCCGTCTCCAGAATTAGGGACGTATCCAGAAATCAAATAAAATGAATCAAACTCTGCAGTCACAATTCTCCCTTCACCATCATGATCTGGTATGCCTAAGCCGTATCTGACTGAAAGTGGCCTTATCTGTCAGATAAATTCCATGTTTCAGTTAAAAAATAACAATGAGAAAAAGCAAAATTAATGTAAACACCATTGGTTCGTGAAGGCATCTACTTTATAGTGATGCCAAAGAAAACAATATTATTATTAATCATTTGATCGTCACACAGCACTAAGATCTGCCTTTCGCTATGGAATATAGATACATTTTTTCCTCTCCATAAATGTCAATGTCATAGAAGGATTTTACCCTAAGCTTTGACAGGGAGATAAGTGTAAACGCATTATCATTAATAATCATGATGCATTAATTTCAAGTTTTTAATAAAAATTTTAGCTCAGGTAAATTTACAAGTTATTACTCTTAAATAGCCATCTCTTCTTAAAAAAAAACATTAACATTATGCACGTAAATTTTCAATAAGCATGAAGATAGAATTAACATACCCTTGAGATTATCGCTGTTCCAGAGTAACCAAGTTTAGACACACTACATGTCCAGAAACTGTTCTCATAGCCATCTATTAAGGAGGTTTTGATTGCGTCAATGTCCTTCTCCTGTTAGTAGAAGTAAAGCATCCACGTAGAGAAGAACATAAGCATCTTAAATTTTCTAATTAATTTTATGATTTTATCATGGTCAATAGAACTAAAATACAGCAATCAATAAGATATAACTTAGGACTAGCTTATTATAATTCATATCTTTTGCAATTCGCAACAAATAAACCATCTTTGCTGCTATCATGTGGAAACTTGTTTCTTTGTGCGCATGCATGTGCCAGCTGTAGCACTATCTAAAATTGGATGAGGGCAGAAAAAGTATATCTCTACCAAGATATAGAATGAGCACTAATATACCCCACCTGTATTTTAGTCTCTTGCAAGCACAACACATCAAAGTCTTCCCTTTGGGCCAGTCGAAGTGCTGAAGATCCTTCTAGTTTCAACAAAGCTCTCAATCCATTGACATTCCAAGACAAAATCTTGATAAATTTTGTATCCCCAGCAAGAGGTGGAGGTCTCATACTACTAGGATTATATGCAATCCATCCTTTCTGTGGCTTCTTGTGTGCAAGGACAGTCCATGGTTCAATTAAAGCAATGGGTGCATTGAGTTGTTCTAATTGTGCAACATCACCTACAATGTCAGCAGATGCTTTTCTCTTTTCCCGGAAGGTTCCCAACCTGGTTACAAAATCCAATAGAATATTAAGCGTCAGCTGAGTCAATTTCAAACCAAAAGTTACCAGTCAAAAGGTAGCCAAGGATGATAGTATTGAAATCAAAATGGAAGCGTGCTCAAATTCAATGTGAAGAAACAAATTTATATAATATACAGGACCTGACACTTCACATTTCACTGCCATCTTCTTCTTGGTTGCCACTTTGACATTCTTGCCATCAGATCCTAACAGCATATCATCCACTGTGTCTTCTTTATCTGATAAATTTTGAGCTGCTAATAACCCTTGTTCTTCTGTTATTTGAGAAATTTGGCCTGCACATGCAGAGACCTTCTAACCAAAGGAATAATACAGCCAGCTTTTAAAGAGAAAAGCTAAAACTAATGAGTAACAAAGAGTTTAATTTAAGCTTTGAAGCCCAAAATGTTCGGTAAAACATCCTCATTTGCTCCATTTCCCGAAGAACAATAAGTTTTCAGACCAAGAGGTTCGTGTCGCAACAGTTTAAATTAACAGCAATGTTGTATACCCCACGTCTGATGCCAATGAAAGACTTCAAGGCAGATACAAGATCATCTTTGCGACCTTGGCAGGGACCTTAACAATCCTGACAATTCAAAACCTTTTCTAAGTCAAAGGAACTTTCTCGTCTATTTTATATCAGAGAGAGAGAGTTGAAGCAGCTGGTCTGCGTAGAAAATGCCTAAAACTGTTACCTTAATGTTTTCCGTAGTTCCTCAACTGTCATTGTCTCTATCTTGGCCGGATCATTTCTCAATCTCTCAATCTCAATGGAGTAGCTATCGAGTTCTTTTTCCTACGTTATCAGCTTATAATAAATGCCAACAGAATAAAAAAGGATCTCAACACTCAAAGTAACACAAAGCATATGTAAGAAAGACAAGTCAAACGGACCTCTAGAATAGGCTTCTTGGAACTTGGG